TAATCAATATTCCTGCAAAATTTATATTGGTATTATGAATTTGTTGTGATCAAATTGTCTTTAAAGTACAAGGAAAGTGGATGACACCAATAAGCAGTCTCCCACCTCCGAAATGTTAGTATTTAAATAAACATGTGTGCAAGGGAGACTTAGGTAATCATCTAGCTGGTGTTAAACATGAGCAAATGAAAATGCCCCAATGAAGGAAATTAAAAATGATAGCAAGATAGCCTAAGGCGTATTCTAGCACGTGACTGGTCTGGTGTTGCTTGGTACAGTACACAAGCAATGAAGAACAGTACCAAAATTGGCTTTTTTAAAATCTCTTCCTATGACCAACTGGACAATAAAATGGACAATGAAAAGGTATTAGTGGAGAGAAATATGGAGGGAAGATAGAGGTGGAGAAAAGCTTCCCCACTCTCAGCAAGTCTTTCTCTTGTGCTCCACAAAGAACTAGCCATTTCTGAGCTTGGTGCGTTTGGTTCCTGTATTGCTTGAGGCCATGGAAAAGGCAGACAGTTGGAGAAGGTCAACCACCTCCCACTGGGAAAGCATGAGAAGGGAACCAGAGGGGTCACAGTACGACAGACTACTGTGAGTGTTGCTGTCACAGACAGGATATGATGGATAGGATATGATGGTGCCACTGGACTGTCAGGAGTTTGGGCAGCTTTAAGTCTTACAGAGAGGACGTTTTAATGGACACAAAAAATGCTCTTTCTGAGATGATGTTCATTTTTAAAAAGTAGTCCTTAGGAATACAAAAAGCAAACCACATGAAAGATGACAAGTTTCATGAAGTGCTTAGGATGCTCTTTGACAGTAATGAGTAGTTTGTAGGTTAATGAAGGAGAGTGGATGTGAACGCATGTAGCATCCCTGAATGCTTTTTGCACTGCTTCCTCCTCAGTTAACAAGTGCTGTAAAGGGCTTTGCAAAATAGTCTCAATGGAAAGTGTTGCTGCTATAGCCACAGGTCTTAGAAACAAAACTCATCCAGCATGTTAGAAATTCTGCCTGCTTATCCAGGCTTAAATCTGTACAACAAGACGTGGACTTTAAGTGCCCTGCAAAAAATGTATTGAGTTTGATTTTCACATTTCAGCTCTGTAGCTTTCCAAAGGAATGGCAAATACTTCAGCCCTTCCTGATGTAAACCTATGGTATGTCTGACACCTGAAATATTGAGCCATATCTGGAAAAAATGCTCCATTTGCTTTCTGTGGGTTGCAAAAGTTCCGTGTGAAGGTAATGAAAAAAGATGTGAGGGACAGGAAAGAGCAGTTTTTTGATCAAGACAAATTATTTCAATGAAATATTAGCTTATCTTGTGACAGAAGTGAGATAAATTTAGATCTCTTAATGCATTACTACAAAAACATGAAAACTTTGCAAGGGAAGGGTTGTGATATTTGAGGAGCTATACATTTATTTACTGATGTGAACTAGTGCAGACTTGCTATATGCTCATATATATATATATGTGTGATATATAAATATTTATTGCTTTCAGTCAGAGAATCACAACAATAGAGAAGGCTACATGGAACTGCTATACGCAGCTTTAAAGTGAAAAGATTATTAGCCCTACATGTCATAGGAAGGAAGCTCAGCAAGAAGGAAATTAGTATGAGATAGTAAGGCATCCAGTTTTTCTCACTTATGTTATTGCTAGAAGATACAGCAGCATCCAGGCAAGATCAATGGCAGTCTTGTAGAGATGTGTGGTTCAATTGGTTCAGCTAGCTCTTTAAGGTCAGACTGCCTCCTTGTCTGTCTCTTTAAAGCCACTCCAAAAATTGGTAGTTTGGAATGACTTCTGAAAAAAGAAAGAAGGCATAAGAAATCTTTCAGTTAGAGAAACATGTAACACAGACAGTAGCAACAGGACTCAGTGTTCCTACAAGAACACGCTCTCTGTACATCAGTACTTCCCACACTGAGGTACAAGAGGGCTTTATAGGAGAAGAAAAAAAAAATGAAACAAAAAAGAAAAGTCATAATAGAATAGAGAGTTTGATTTCCTGTGGATTTTATGTCATTTTTGATTGCAAGCTATCCCTGAAGCCTTTTCCTATTTTAGGGCATTTTGTAAGCACTGTTCTCCAAGTAGTTTCTCTGTTGCCTCAAGCAGACAGCTCTCTCTTCTTGGCCTGCCCCACTGTGTGAGTCCTAAAGTGGTTTTCTGTCCTCCAGCATCTCCCAGCTGTTGAACTGGATTTAACAATTAAGCCATGAGGCTATACAAGTGTTAGTAGATGCATACGTTTCTGAGTATATGAACATATATATGTAAAGTGACCAAGCGTGCTTCCTATCCACTGGAAATCAGGCTTTAAAAAAAATTTCTTTTAACCTTCAAAATAATTTGTGATTTTTGTTTGAGGTGAGCAAAGGTTGTCACACTTATTTTATACAAAACTTTTTGTATATCGTATAGCGTATTTATATCCCATAAGAACCTCCTGCTGCCAGTGATTAAACGTGGCAAATAAAAAAGATGTCCTGCTTGCTAACAGAAGAAATGTATTAGCATGCAGAAGGCAATGCTGCTACCTATGGGAGGTTTTAATCACGCCTTGTGTACTGATTGAGATGCAGTGCTCAAAGGTGAGAAAAATTATTAACAAAATCAGAAATCTGGAGCATTTTTCATGCAAACATTCATCAGTATATCTTATGTAATTACATAGCCAATAAATCAACGTAGTCTGTAAGTGCTTCAGTCACGGCGTAAATATCTTAATGACTGAAACATCCTTACACATGAATAATTTATACCTGTATCATTCATTTTTCATAGCTATGCTTTACTTCAACATGATGAACTAATCCCTCTCTGTCAGGGAATGTGTGCTTGATTATTGCCCTCTGATTTCTCTTCCTTGTGTTTATTATCCACAGTTAGACACACTCCACTTCTTCTTTTCTGGTTTCTAATGTAGTTATCTTATTTATTCATCCTGTCGTTCTTCGTTTGCCTTCCCAGTGCATTTTAACAGGCACCTGGGAAATAATGGTGGGGCATAAGCTGATGGTGCATTTCTCAAATAATTCTGTAGTGACATCTTGAAAGATTTATTCATTCTTGACAGATTATATTTGAATATATAGCTTCCCTCCCTCTCCTCAAGGCAATTGCTATGGAACAGACCTGTGATGAGCAGTAACAACCTGAGCTTTATCATTTTCTGGATCCATCTGAGTTCAAACTTTTGTCGCAGTACTCATGACAAGCATGCTTAGTGACCTCTTCCCATATGTTTGTAAATATGAGCTTGTTTGTAGTTTCAGAAAATGCTGAAATATTGAAGAAGAAAAAAAACTCTTCCTCAGCACAGGAATTGGGAATTCTTAAATTCTGCTCTGCTGCACATGCTTATTTGGCTGTATGCACCCTACCCAACTTAGGCACTAAACCAAAACATCTAAGCCATCTGTTTGATTGCCATAAGGGTTCCTCTTTAATTACTGGAAGAAGACAGGTAGCAGCAGAGGGCCGTTCACCCAGCTCTAAATCTATTAGTATCTGAAGAACCAGACAGTAGTGCTTCTGGGTGGACTCTCTTTTGGGATCATAATTTAAGGTTTGGTTCAGATTTATAGAGAACCTTATTTTGATGGTATCTGTGGAAGTTCAGCCTTTGTCAGTCCCAGACAAGCTGAAAAGTAAATACCTCAGAATTAATGGGTGCTTTGAAAAACACTGAGTCTCTCTTTCTAGCTCTCAAGTTTCTAACTGGAAAAAAAACGAGGATTGTAAAAATTGTCTGAAGTTGTGGGAGAAAACTGTGTTTTGTAATTCTTAACCGATGTTTTATTTGTATTGTATGTTCCATCCAAGCACATTTTTCTCTTCATGTCTGTCCAGTTTACCTACATTACTCTCCAGCTGTGAAGAACACCTCACATGACTGTTGAAGATGTCATTTCGTTTCTTGTATCATCATATGTAGCTTGTTAAATTTGTACAACAATATACAGCTTCACAGTCTTCTGTGACAGAATGACATTTTTGGACTACTTTTTTTAGGTTCAAGACTGCATGCAATATCTTGATCCCTAACTTTTGCATGCTCCAGCTGCAGCTTTTTTACAGCTTCTGAGAGATGTCACAGGTGTATATTTTCCTTGCATTCTTACAGCAGGCTCCAGTACCCTGTGTATATGAAATCTACTGTCGTGTAGTAGAACGTTTGGTAGCTTTACTCCAGCATGTCTCTACTTCTACATTTTCTTTTATTCTGATCATAAGTATCTTCAGTCTTCTGATGTCATTTACTTCTATGATTTGCCTCAGTCTTTTTACATCCTTACAGGACCCCTTCACTTACTGTATGTAACTAAGGTCATTTGTTGATAGATGGGATCAGCTGGTAAGTACTATCAGGCAGTCTTCAGAATGCGCTTCACCCTTATCACTGAATGCCTTATTTTGACATTTATGAAGCAGCCTGCTGTCTTCTTCCTTCGTTCTGTCTAGCTCTTGTCTCTCTTGAGCATAGTTCTTCAACACAGTCATTAGTCTTGATCATGATTTAAGGTTTGGTTTTGTTGCTGCCTGTTTTTTCTGCTTTCTTTTTTCACTGTTTGGTCATCTACTTATTGGTGACCTGTTGGAAAGTGGTACTTTCACAGATTCACAGAATTCTAGGAAGGGACCTTAGAGATCATCTAGTTCAATGTCCCTTGCCAAAGCAGGCTTCCTAGACCAGGTTGCAAGGGTAGGCATCCAGTTGGGTCTTGAACATCTCCAGAGAAGGCAACTTCACAGTCTTTCTGGTCAACCTGTTCCAGTGCTCCATCACCCTTACTTTATCCCATGACAGTTCTTGATGCCTAAACTGGGGACATTCCAGAATTTTTTTGTGTGTGTCAGATTGTCTGATAAGAGAAATAGAATGAACAGAAATTTTATTTGGAGAGAAAAAAAATATGAAAATGGCATAAAGACTACATTGGTATTGTACTGAATTTTTGTTGTCTAATTCTAACAGATTCAGTTTCAACAGCGTCTGGACCACTACTTGTTGAAGTTGCCAAAACTCCTGGTGCTGCTCTTGGGGTTGCACTGTCCACTTCGATGTGCTGCAACAAACAGGTCATTGTCATAGACAAAATCAAATCTGCAAGTATTGCAGACAGGTGAGTGTGACATAGAGCTGACATTGCAGATCCATGCATTCTTTTTTTCTTTTTTTTCCTACTTTTGCTTTGATTGGTTTTGTTTTGAAGAAACTTTTCCTTATTTTGATGAATTTGACTGAGCCATATGTTATCAGGGTTGCTAGGTCTTAAAATTAGCACTTTGTCAGATCATTATTCCATACTGCAGAGTTTAAGAGTTTCAGGGCACCATTTACGTTAGCTTGTTCAGAGTTTTCAATTATATAAGCGAGACCAAATGTAATACATGGCTGTTGGTTGCTCTGTACAATACAGAAGTTTAGAGGTCTGTTCTGGCTTAAATATAATGCTGCAGCAGAAATTAATATTTTTAAAGAAATAAATACACCACTGGAATTCATAAAGTAAGCTCACAATATGGAACAGCTGTCAAGGGAAATAAATTTTGAGGCTTTGCAACCTTGAAGTGTTCTTTTAGAATATACCATTTATTCTTGTGTTACAGTGAAATCGAACTTCTGTCTGGATTTTCTTATTAACATTTTAGAATACAATTGAGGTATTAAGAAGACTGGTTTCTGTATTTCAGAGTTATTTTGCTGTAATTTTTCAACTTCATTTAAACTCCATTCTACTGTGTTTAGCTCAGATTGTACATAGAATTGAGGGGGAAAAAATGCAAGTATTTTTTCCCTTGTGATCTAGAACTGTAGCAGAGCTGTGGGTTATTTATCTGTGCGTGTGTGTGTGTGCGTGTGTTCTTACATATACAGTATGTTTCTATATACATACCTCTATCTAAAAATTCCCTAAATATTACGTTTCAGCAAATTCCTCCTGCATGTTCCCAGTCACCCTACCTTGTAACACCTCTTTGACAATGGTGCTTTGGGTAGCACCCACTTGTAGCAGTGAGTCTACAGCTCCTCTGTGGGCTTTTCCCTACAGTAGAAACTTTGAGAGTGACGGCCATTGATCCAGGGGTGTTCTCCAGTTCAATGGTGCAGGATGCTTTAATTTTCTCCCTCTGTTTTTTCCCATTTCGCAGGGGGTAACCAATTAAAGGAGCTGTCCACTTGACTGGTACGTCGGGATGCTGACTGCTGTGTTTGCATTTCTCAACTCATCCAGTAGCCAGTCTCTTGAGTGCAGCGAAATTTAGCAGATAGTCCCCTCCCCACCCAACTCCTTAAGTCACCATGCTAGCCCTGGTTTCATTATTTGTTTGACTACTGCATAATTTCATCATCATTTACAGCTTTTGTACTAATAAATGTTTGAATTATAACTCAAAAAATGATGAACTGGGTGCTTGTGTGAGGGATATGTGACCAAGTTATTTGAGTCTCCTTAAGTTCTTCTCATTTATTCTGCCGCCATTTGCATATATTTTAGTAGTCAGCTGCCCCATTGCAGTTCTGTGAGTGATGTCTTGGCATATGCTGTATTAACTGAATTGTTTTTAAGGTTTGTACTAATAGATGTTAAGTCTCACCAGTGACAGTGCCTACAAAACAAATCTCTCTCGAAAAAGAAAGAAAACGCTCATAGTTGTCATGACCAGTTTGAAGGCAGTAAAACTCATTTTCCCAGCAGAGAGCATGCCTGATCATACTGAGTTTTTCCCCTTTTGTATAGATGTGGTGCTTTACATGTAGGAGACCATATTCTGTCCATTGATGGCACCAGCATGGAGTACTGTACGCTGGCAGAGGCAACGCAGTTTCTTGCTAATGCAGCGGATAATGTGAAACTTGAGATCCTTCCTCACCACCAGACACGGCTAGCACTGAAAGGCCCAGAGCATGGTAAGAGAATCTGTAACACCAAATTCCACTTTATTTTCCTGTCTTTTACTTTGTCTGCACTTGCTGTATGGCCATGAAAGCTATGATCGCAATCGTGTCTGTAGATGTTGCTTCATCTCCCCAGGTTATGCTTCTGCAGTTTCTGAGCAGCTCTGTGTCTTCTCAGTGTTAATGTATCTTCTGAGTTCCTACAGATAGAGAAGGAAATGTTTTACAGATAAATGGTTCTGCACACTTGTAAATGTACATACAGGCACCTGTTGACTCTACTGTTGCAATCACTGAGCGGATAACTAGGTGCTTCAGTGGATGATTCTCTGAGTGGATTCTTCAAATTAGAGAAGGAAGGGAGGGACACTGATTGATTTCAGCATACTGAATTCATAATTTGTTATAACCTCTTCAGTAGTTTACTTGTTCTCCCTTGAAATGCTTCAAAAATAATTATTTTCTCTTGCTGTTGGAATATTATTCATTGCCATCATCTTTTAAAAATACTTCTGAGATTACTTCATGGGAGAATTGACAGTTCTTATGAAAAAGATTTGTTTGGGAACAGTTCCCGAGATCCCAGCCCTTTTTCACCATGTTGCCTATTTCATAACAGCATACTTAAAGAGAATAACTTTCCATTTTCAAATCAGATATGTGTAGAATGTCTTAGTGTTTGAAGTTTGAAAATGGGAGCTACCTGTCTTGTCTTCTAACTAATCCTGAAAAAGTGGATAATTCACAGTATTCATAAGTTCACGGTAAAATATCAGAATAATTGATGTCAAAGAAGTAACAAAGGTTATCAAATACACAGAGAATAGGTACCTGTGTTAAAGCATGAGTAAGTGATAGCAATTTCTGAGCCTTTAATATTGTGCCTCTGCCTCCTCTAGACCAACACAAGATTCCTGAGGCCTAGAAATTTTAGTGTTGATAAACATTGTTGGACATCTATCTGCTATCCAGGCTGTCCCTGGAAAAACAATGCTCTAGTCGGTTTGTCAGTGCTGGATATTGAGCTACTGTTGAGGAGATTCTAGTTTGTCCTAGGGTGAACAAAAAGTAACCCTTGCAATACCATGTTATTCCATTAGTTAACTGCATCTCTTTCCCCTTTTCAGTTAGGCTCCTGTGAGGAAGCAGGGAGTGAAACTGCAGAATACAGAGAACAGATTTTGTGATATAGTTCCTTTTCACTTTTGATAGTATGCTACAAACAGATCCTCCCTTTTTTATAGCAAAGACAGCACACGTTCAAACTTGGGCTAATGAGAAAAACATTTTAATAGGGTTTCTTTAGGGAAGATGAGTTCTAGGGCCAAAGATTTGTTTAGCTGACTGTATTTCCTGAAGCCTTTTGCCTCTTAGCAAAAATTTGAAGTGTTGCTGTTTACCTGCTAGTTGTCTTCAACTAATGAGGATGCTTGATAGAACAGTGCTCTTGCCAGACGTGTAAACTGTTAAAAATATCAAATCAAGGGGGTCTGCAAAGATGACATAAGTGTATCTTTTGGGGAAAAATCTCCCTACAGTAATAAAAATGCTTTCTTAAGTAAGCTGACATAACTAGAATTTTTACAGCCCTTTCCAGCCCCTCACCAGGTGGTGCTGCTCCAATATCACAACAATTTCAGAAGGTAATATGGTTTATGGAAGCAAGAATACTTTTGGAAACAACCTTTCATCAGGTGTGGTATGGCCTAGATGCTGCAGAATTTGAAAAGCTCCCTTTATGTGTCTGGGATAAGCTGAGTCATTAAGGCTGTATCTGTTGAGCTCAGTTATTGGACTTCTGGGAACATGTTAGGAATTTAAAATGGGCAGGGAAGTCAGTATATAAAATAAATTGAAATTTTAGCCCTTAAATAAAATGGAGAGCACTATAAAATATCAGATTTTTTTGTGTGTTTTTTTTTTCCTTTCCACTGTACTGCTAATATTCATTTCTCTTGCCGCCCCATTAGTTTTATGTTGGCTGCATACAACCCTGGTTTAGAATGGCTCAAATTACTAGTAAATTACTACTGTTACACAAGATAGGATTTCCTTTTACAGAACGTTTGTTGAGCTGGGATTATCCTTCTACAAGCTGAGCAAACTGAATTTGTGTACCTGACTGCTTTGTAGGACATTTTTATCTCTATTCTCAGTATGAAAATAAAACATGAAAAAAATCAAAGACTACCGGATGACTTCCTACTGGAAGCAGTCTTTTTAATTAAACAAGGCTCACAGCAACTTGAAAATAATGAAAATCCACCTGGCCACGTTGTTCTTATCAGATTTTAATTTTTATACCATAGTTAAATCCAGCAATCTCGATGCCTGTATACATAATCAGAGAGATATTTTCATTTGAGAAGATATGATAAGCCTGTAAGATACACAGTGCCTCGTCAGGCTTCTGCCTCTGTTTCTGGGATTTGTTTGACGTGTGAGATTTCCTGAAGTCCTTGAGGATGAGGCACTCAGAGAGGCAGGCTGGCTGGTGTATGCCACAGGTGTCTCGTATATCCCTTCCTGTAGGGACACCCTCACCTCATTTGTTACCTGTTGAGGAAAATAAATATTAAGATATTCATTCCTTTGTTTCAAGCACGTATCAGAGCAGCTCCAGGAGGGTGGGAGCAGGGGGTACCCTCAGGGAGGGATGCAGAGCACCCTGACCTGGGTCTAGGCCATGTTATGCCAGGGCCCATGGAGCCCCAGGCATGAAGCCACGAAGATGGAGTGGGCCCCTGTGCTCTCCTTTCCCTCATATTCTACAGTGTTGTGTCAGGCCTGGCTTTTCAGTCAGCAAATGGTTAACATATTCTGGTTGTTAACAAATCGTTGCTCCTGCAGTATAAAGTGAAACAAAACTGTAGCTTTTCTTCTGGCACTGTGTGGTGCTTGCTGCTGCAGCTTCCATTTTCCCCTGACTGTGTCATGAAGCAAGACATGAACACAAAGTGGCTCCAGCCTTAACTGACAGACTGCAGTTTACTGCTAAAGCCTGTCATGGGGTTGCTGTGTGCCTGCAGCCTTATAGGTGATAGCTTAGATTTCTCCATATGGGTGCACCTCTCTTTTTTTTCTTTTTTTTTTTTAAAGACAAAAATTCAGTGAGCAGTTCGCAGTTCATAGTGCTCCACTGTGGTTCGGCAAGAACACAACTACGTCGAGTTGAGTAATGACCAGATTGTATTTAATGAAGGAGAGTTTCAGTCATTTTCTTCTAATATTTGACGCATCAGCTGAAATACCTCCAGTCTTCTTGGTAAATACTGGCCTTCATCTTTGGCGTATGGACTCTCCATACTTAGAATCAGCAATCAAAACCTGTTTATCCAGAGAAACGTATTTTAATGTTTCAAAGACTAAGTTAAAAGAAAAATTTACACATCCAAATAATAAATAAGAGCTCTGGATTTTTGTTTTCTTTTTTGATGAGGCTCCAGGATAGCGTTTTTGTGCTGCTGGGCCAAGGAGCTTCTTTGTGGCATAGAGTTCATAGAGTCTACTGCCAACAATATATGCTGTCAAAATTAAAATGCCAGTGCAGTAAATTGAAATGACTGTCACATAGTGTGAGTATGGTATCTGAATATAGAGACTTACTAATCTCCAGTTAGTGATCATAGATGATACTTCAGTATTTTCTAAAGAAATTTGCAACCTTAGCTCCTAAAGCCAGAAGGAAATTAGAAACTGATTCCACACTAATCTTTTTAAAAATGAATACAAGAAAGCAAGCAAAAACAATCAGAAGTATTTATTCTTAGAGGAAACGTTATTTTTTTTCCCCAAGATAGCATCTCCTGTAAGAAGACAAGACCAGGTTATTAATCATTTCATTTATTTTATTTTCAATTCATTTTCATTTGGGGACTTTTTTTGTTTGTTTGTGTAATTCAGTTACCTTTCCCTCTTCTCTGGTCCTTTTGTTTTCTGATTTCCCATCATCCCTTCATGTGGGCAGTGAAGGTTGAAAGAAGCAACAGGCAACATACCTGGGATTCGTGTGCCAACAGCCACAGCAGTCTTCTCACCTACCACCATTATAACACCTACCACCCTGACCATTGCAGGATGCCAGCATTGAAATTCCAGAAAACGTCTCCTCAAAAAAGCCTTCGTAATGTTCCACTTCTTTTCCTGCTGACGTAGTCTCTCCTCTTCTTCTTTCTCCTTTCTCACTTCTTTTACTCATAGTTTTCTCATTTCAGGCACTAAAATCTTCTCAGTCTTATGGATGCTACACTTTTTCATAGCCATGCTAAGGTTATTTCTGACATTTTATGCCTTTTCTGTAACAAGACAGCCATTGTAGGCATGAAAAGGCTTGACAATTCTCGATGAACTCATTCTTCTGCTCTATGAGTAGACTATTAGGTTTGTGTAGTATATATAAAATGCAATATTTGCATGCAAAACATAGCTTACAAATCTTTTGTCAGAAATTACCTACTACAGAAAGACATTTCTAACATCAGTATATCTAGATCTAGTAGTCTGCATCAATTCATGGATATGTGTTGAAAATTTTGATTTAACATACTTCTCCTGAAGAAAGATGTGTATTATGAATGTAATTTCTGTATCTACAGTATCTTTGTTAGCTTTCAGCAGGTATTTTCATTGTATGCTACCTGTACTTTTACCCAGGGTCACCTATGCAGTTTAATGTTTTTGTTATCAGAAGTGCACAAACCATTCCTGTGCATCATACACATTGTTTGATTCATTGATGAGTTACAGGCATGTGCCGCACTCTTCTGTGAAGGTTGAGTGCTGTTTGCCAAGTGTTTGATTTCTTACAGCAGCTTTGGTGTCTTCATCCTTCTCTCCTACCTCCATGAGTGCATACAGCCTGAGTTCCCTGAACATGGGGACCTTACCTCGCAGCCTCTACTCCACCAGCCCACGTGGGACAATGATGAGGCGGAGGATGAAAAAGAAGGACTTCAAAAGCTCCTGTAGGTGGTAACAGCAACTGCTCAAAATGTGCAATAATGGGTGGAGGA